ATGCACGCTTTCATCTGCAAAATGTAGAGGGAGTGTGGAATGGTAGTTGTGCGTAGGGGGCTTTGGGACGGACAATGAGTTCTCTGTGGTTTTGCTGAATCAATCATGTGCAGGAGGGTAAATCCAAGAGGCAGACTGCTGAGAATGGGGGGTGGGTCCGTGGTGGTGCTGAGTGCCAGGCTGGTGTGTTGATTAGGGTTTGAGGGTTCAGATCTCCACTCATCTGTAAAACGTAGTGGATGACCTGGAGCCAGGAACTGTCTCTCAGCCTAACTTACTTTTAGGGTGGGGAGGTCCTGACGATAAACAGGGGGAGAGGAAGGTTCTCAGCTTGGAGAGAGGATGGGATTAAAATGAATATAACAGGCGTCCCCAACATGGTGCCCATGTTTTTAGAAAGTGGGGGCGGCCAGGTGAGGCTGTCGCTCAGTAAGGCTTCTGATTTGCCACTGAAGATCTGATTGGCTGTGCAGATTAAACGTTGTTTATCTGTGCAGATATAGATATAACATCGTTTAAATTGTAGTTGTTGGTTTTATGCTTTTTCACCCCTTTTTTACCACTGTATTTTTAAATTACTCCTCTTCTCCCCTTCACTTGGGCTTCCTCTGTGTCGCTCCGCCTCCCGCGGCAGCCATTTTATTGTTGGCTTTGTGCCTCCTGAGGCAGCCATTTTATTGTTGGCTTTGTGCCTCCTGAGGCGGCCATTTTATTGTTGGCTTTGTGCCTCCTGAGGCAGCCATTTTATTGTTGGCTTTGTGCCTCCTGAGGCAGCCATTTTATTGTTGGCTTTGTGCCTCCTGAGGCAGCCATTTTATTGTTGGCTTTGTGCCTCCTGAGGCAGCCATTTTATTGTTGGCTTTGTGCCTCCTGAGGCAGCCATTTTATTGTTGGCTTTGTGCCTCCTGAGGCAGCCATTTTATTGTTGGCTTTGTGCCTCCTGAGGCGGCCATTTTATCGTTGGCTTTGTGCCTCCTGAGGCGGCCATTTTTGGGTCGTACCCACCATTCTGTGACAGTATTCCAAAGGTGCACTGTTAGTGGAACAAATCTACAGGAGCCGACCCAATAAGGATTAGCTGTGTCAAGCCCTCACAAACCTTCCATTTGTTTCTCACAGGATGAAATAAAACCCGGGGACCTCATCGAGATCTTCCGCTCTTGCTATCAGCACTGGGCCATCTATGTTGGAGACGGCAAGGTGGTCCACTTGGCCCCTGAATGTAAGTTTCCGCGGGAGCCGGCAGACCTTGTGCTGGGATTCTGGGGTGTGTGTGAGTGTCTGGGCCAAATTGATCTGCATTACATAGGGCTGCCAACCTCCAGGTGGAACCTGGAGATCTGCTGGAATTACAACTGATCTCCAGAGTACAGAGGTCAGTTGCCCTGGACAAAATGGTTCCTTTGGAAGGTGGACTCTGTGGCATTATACCCTGCTGAGGTCCCTCCCCTTCCCAAAGCCCAGCCTCCTTAAGCTCTATGGGGAAGGGCCGTGGCTCAGTGGTAGAACATCTGCTTGGCACGCAGAAGCTCCCAGGTTCAAACCCCGGAATCTCCGGTTAAAAAGATCTGGCAGGAGGTGATGTGAAAGACCTCTTGCCTGAGACCCCGGAGAGCCGCTGCCAGTCTGAGTAGACAGTGCCGACTTCGATGGACCGAGGGTCTGATTCGGTATATTGCAGCTTCATGTGTGTGTACCCCCAAATACCCAGGAACCTCCCAACCCTATACCTTCCACTGTCTATAGGCTTCCTCCTGAGCATGCTGGTGTTATGCTTCATCCACTTCTCTGCAGATATCTTGAAGGATTAGGGATTGTGTTGAAATGAAAAGGGTGTTTCCGGCCCCTGCCACACGGGGGGAAATTGATGCGGGCAAATGTGGCTTTTGAAAGCTGCACCAAAAGAGACCTGCGGCGGCGGGATCACACAGATCCCGTGAGCTGCCACGCAGTTGCTCCCCGGGACGATCAGATGCCGGGGAGAAAGCCACGGAAGGGAGCGCGAGGCTGCCGGCTGCGCATGTGTGCGCATGCGCAGTTTGGCTGGGAGCCTCGATTGCTCCGGAAGACGGGCGCTCCGGCGCTCCGACGACTGCGCTTGCTGCGGCGTTTCTGGTAAGTCCTCAGTAGGTGGGGTTTTTTTTACAGCGGATTTTCGGCCTGAAGGGCCGGATCGGGGACGGGTGCGCGCCGCTTCCCAGATGTTGCGGTTTGATCGCGCCCGTTTGCTGCACCCCCGATCCGTCCCTCTTCCGGCCCTAAACCTCCCGTGTGACCGGGGCCTCCTTAAAGCAATTACTGAAACCTAGCAGCAGTGCCACTTGTATTCGGTTTGGCCTTGGCTCTGTGGTCCCTTCAGATATCTGTGGGCCTCATCTATACGTAACTTCCCTGATCCATTTTTAGGATACAGTCTTGTCTGAAAGGGGGCATAGCAATTGTTTCTGTACCTCTCTCCCTACTCTTTTAACCAGAAAATCTCTATGCTAGAGTGCCATCTACTGACAATTATGGGAATAGCTATATGGTGCACTTCAGTGTAGTTGGTATGGTCCAGCTAAGTCTAAGACACGCACTTGGAGCAATAGCTTCTAAATGGGGGTCTTAATGGTTGGTGGGCAGCCTTTGTAAGGCAGAATAAAAGCCAGAGAAGCCAAAAATGTCCTGTAGGTGGAGGGAGCTCTTTCAAGGATTGCTCGTGAGAGAACAGCTCCGAGAGAACTTGTGACTGACCCAAGGTCATACCAGCAGCTGCATGTGAAGGAGTGGAAACCAGTTCTCCCAGATTACAGTCTGCGCTCTTAGCCACTACACCAAACTGGCTGATGAGACTCAGTGGCAGGAGGACAGGGAGGAAGGTTGCCTATCCTTCACCTTGTCATATTTCTCTGGCCTTGCCCAATGTTAATGTGTGCAAACAATCCTCCTGGGCCTGTCTGCAGCTGTTAAACCCTCTCTCTGTTTCTTCCTTCCTTCCCAACAAGGCGACCGTCTCGCAAACGGCGCTGCCAGCGTTTTGGCAGTCTTGTCTGACAGAGCGTATGTGAAAAAGGACTGGCTGGAAGTCGTGGTGCGGAAGGACCAGTACCGAGTGAACAACAAACACGACAGCACTTATCCGGTGGTGCCGCTTGCCAAGATCCTCCAGAGGACAGAGGAGTTGGTGGGCAAGGAGATGCCCTATAACCTGACTAGCCATAACTGTGAACATTTTGTAATGGACTTACGATATGGAGTTGCGATGAGTGATCAGGTGGGGGCAGGAGAACAAAAAAGGGGGGGAGGAATAAATTCTTGGATTGTGCTGGAAGGTGCCAGGAGTAGAGGTGGACCCGTTTGTTTTTTTAAAAAAAGGGATATGATGGAGCCTTTGTTGTCCATACTACACCCACCCATTTGTTTCACTAATGTCTCTGCTTCAATGGGGTTTGCAGGTTTTTCAAGCTCTAGGAAATCTGCAAAAATCTTTTTGACCACAAAGGAGACTAGGCTTGCCAAGTCCCTGTGGGGGTGGGGGATTCCCTGCCCCCAGATCTTGTCACCTGCTTCCACTTGGAGCAATGGCAGGATTTTTTTTTAAAATGCAGTCTTGTGTACTTGCCCAAAGTTCTTACAGGAAGTGATGAAGGGCAGCTCTAGGAATCACTGGAAACTATGGTAAAACCATAGAGTTCCCGACGATTCCTAGAGCTACCCTTTGTCACTTTTCTGTGACAATTTCCAGTAAATACACATGCAGACTACATCCTCTCCAACCCTCCCACTGGTCGCAAGGCAAGAGGAGAGTGTTGAGTGTGTAGGCCTTAGTACTACTTTCAGCTTTAAAAACAACAACACAGGTATGTCTCTGTAATGATTCATGTTTTGGTGTGGGTGTTTCTTTAAATGTTTAGTTTGACTGCAGTAATGTAAGGCGAGTGATAGAGGGAGATAAGTGTGATGTGATTGGCTGAAGACTGAGAGAGTGGGAGGAGAGATGTCTATGAGGGGATTCTGTGTGTGAAGTTTGGAGAGAGAGCATAGTCTGTGTGACTATGGGAGTTTGAGTCTATTCTGTGTGAATAAGACAAACAGTTTAGTCTATGTGACTATGAGAGTTTGAGTATATTCTGTGTGAATAAGACAAAGAGTTTAGCCTGTGTGGCTATATATATGAGAGAGAGATAAGACTGAGGGCCTAAGCCTGTCAGAGTGGAGTATTGGAGTTTGAGAGACTGTTTGTGATGCCAAGCTTTGCCAGTTATGTTTACAAGTTCCTTTCTACAGCAACAGTTCAGAAATTGTTGTTTAAACTTATCCCAGCAATCAGAATAGTCCTTCTTCAGGGCCACATAGTCCTCTAAAGTGCCCGGACCCTGGGTCATTTTACTGAAAGAGGGAGATTTGAAAATTTTAATTCCTGGTGGCAGCAGAAATCTACCAACTTTATGTACACAGAGAGTGTGTTAAAGGTAAAACCGTCTCCCCGAGAAGTGAGGATGCCACAGTCTCCCATCTAAAAGTCCACATGGGGAGATCTAGTGTATTACGTTAGCCATTCTGAAATCCCTGGTATGAATCTGAACTCTGCCACCAATTCAGTAGGCAGTCTGAGGCAAGACGGGACTTTTTTGAGCCTTAATCTTTCCCCTCCACCTGTAGTGTAGGAATAATAAGGCTGGCTATCCTTACAGAGCTAGGGTAGCCAGGTCCCCCGGTGTTTGGAGGATCCCCTGGTTTCTGGTGTTCCCCCCCTGTGCCGGCCAGCCGGCTGGTGGGGGAGAGTTACCGCCCCAAATACAACATACCTATGTCACCCAGAAGTGACGTAGGCACATTGATGGTGTCTGGGGAGATGTTCTGGTTTTTGGGCAAAACTCTATGGTAGAATTAGCTTCAAACCACAGAGTTTGACATCCCTGACATGCCTATGTCACCCAGAGGTGATGTAGGCACAGCATGCTTCTTCCCTCCCCTCCTGGAGTGTCCCAGTAAGTCCCCTGCTGGCTTGTCATTCAGACCAGACAACCCTATACAGAGCTAGGGTTGCCAAGTCCTACCTGTCGCTGCAGTAGGGGACTCCCGGCTCGCTCCTGGAGTGCGCGCGCGTGGTCACGTCACCCGGAAGTGACGTGACCACACCAGGCACACTGGGTGTGGGGGAAAAACATAAACCTGCCTGGGTGGGTGTATTGGAGATCTCCACAGAGATCCATTCCTCTGGAGAAAATGGCCGCTTTGGAGGTGGACATGATGGCATCCCATCTCCATTGATCTTCCCACCCCTCCCCTCCCTAAACTCCGCCTTCCCCAGACACCACCTCCCAGGCTCCAGGAATTTCCCAACCCGGACTTGGCAACCCGTCTCACAGCCTTGTCTCCCTTTCTTGCAGGTCACCGATGCCATTGCCGTGGGGACAATTGGCATGATGGGCGTAGCTGCTGCCATGCTCCGATCGGCGGCCAAGAGACGCCAGCAACGCTACGAATAGTCTTGTGGGGAGGGGCCAGGGACCTCCACGGCGGGATTCCGACCAGCTCTGGGGGTGTTTTGCCTGCCTGCCTAGTGTCCTTTATTTGACAGATTGTTTTCAGACCACCAGACCTAAAATTAAATGAAATTTCGTGACAGAAGCCACCCAGACACGCCGTGCTTGGAGCCAATAAAACTCTTCCATACTAAGAGTGTGGCAGTGGCTTTTTTGCTGGGGGGGGGAGGGTCAGTGTTAGGCCTCAGTGTGTCTGGTGGATGTCGCTAGGCAACACAGACTGTTGGCCTGTGGCAGTGGCTACAGTTGTCCTCTAACTGGTTGCTAGGCAACACAGAGGTGATCCTCTCGTCCTCTTACAGTGGTTGCTAGGCAACACAGACATGATGTCGGGTTGCCAGCTTCGGCTTGAGAAATTCTGGGAGATTTTGGGGTGCTGCCTGTTGGAGGGGGCCGTTGAGAAGGGGAGGGAGGTCAGTGGGTTGTGATGTCATAGTCTGTGCTCCAAAGTTGACATTTCTTCTCTGGGAACTGATTTCTATAGTCTGGAGATCAGTATTAATTCTGGGAGAACCTCCAGGGTCTGGAGGTTGGTAACTGAAAAGTATGCAGACGGAGAGTGATTTCAGCTAAGCATACCTTTATTAGTTGAGGACAAAGACAAACTGACCGGCTCGCAGGCCGGTTTATATCCGTTCAGAAAACCCGCCACCAAGTTCACTTAAACACCCCCCCCACTCCCGATAGACTATTTACAGTAACCGAGAGACCTATTGGCCTCCCGGCTGGGGACCTAGCCCTTTCATTGGGCCTGGCTAGAATCCTCCTGGCCCATTGTCTATTGGTATGAAGCTAGTGAGGTTTGTGCCTGGCCAGTCCGGGCAAGTCCGGACATGTCAGGCTGGATACATTACAGTAACCATATATAATGGCCCTGTTGCCTTCTTGTGACATGGAGAAAAAAAACAAGGGGCAAAAGCGTCACTTGCAAAATTTCTGCAGGACAACCCTGGTGTTCTGGGCATTGGAGCAAGACCAGGGGGAAAGATGGCAACCCCACTTCATCCCATATGTTATTTTGCCATTCACGCCCGCCATCTTTGCATGCTGCCACTTGGCTTTGCTAAAAATATTTCATTTTTTTTTATTTTGCAGAGAGAGTGAGAGAGAGAGCGAAAGAGATGCATACTTAACTACCCTTTAACTACAGGCTGTACTCCCCCCCCCTCACAAAATTTATGTATACCGGGCTTAACCCTCCCTGCCCCACTGGCAGGAATGGAAACGGCCCCTTAGTCACAGGAGCTTCCCAAAGCCAGAGCCTGCTGAGGTCTGTGGAGGCAAATCAAAATGGATGAGGCTATTACTTTAAGCGAACAGAGGAGGAGGAGGAGGAGGAGGAGGACAGAGCAGAACTCCCAGGCCCAAAGAGCTTTCTATCTATTCTCTTTTTACGGCCAGAGATAATGGGATTGTAAGACTGCCAGCAAAGAATTTAGGCTAGGAAGATTAGCAAAGGGTGCTTTGAAAGCTGGCCAGCCTGGGCTGTGACTGCTTCTTTGTTGTGGTCGGGCTGCATGGAAACCGGCTTGGATGACGCCCGGGAAGGGTGATCCCTAGGGTTGCCAGCTCTGGGTTGGGAAAGACCTGGAGATTTGGGGGGCGGAGCCTGGGGAGGGACCTCAGCAGGGCACAAAGCCATAGAGTCCACCCTGCAAAGCAGTCCTTTTCTCCTGGGAAACTGGTCTCTGTTGCCTGGAGACCAATTGTAATACTGTGAGATGTCCAGGTGCTACCTGGAGGTTGGTGACCCTAGTGATCCCTCTGTGCCTCTGGGGCAGCCCCTCCCAAACCATCGTGCAGGAGAACTGAAGAAAAAAAGAAACCTGGTAATTAAGGATCCCACAGGGTTGCCAACTCTGGGTTGGGAAACCCCTTAAAAACACTTGGCACGTGCCAGAAAAAGTGTCAATGAGCACCCAGGCACCATGTTGGGGGCCCCTGCTCTAGGGAGTGGTGGGGTTGTCCCCCAAAGAGCAACAAGGCTCACCCCACTACCAATGTTCCCTCTAAGCTGTGGAGTCTTGTGAGCAAAAATTCTACTTTGTGAGCTGCTGGCATTAAAACTGTGAGCGAGCGATTTGGCAACCGTATAAATTAGTTTGCTCTGGAGCTGTTCTTCCTGAGCTAAGACAAAAATGTGTGAGCCGGAGGCTAGAAAACTGTGAGCTAGCTCACGCTAACTCAGCTTAAAGGGAACACTGCCCACTACCTTCACCAGGCCATCCCTTTCATCATGCAATAAAGCCCCAGGGAGGCCGAGTGAGGGTGCCGCCTGCAAAGGAAGGCAGTAGGTGAACCTTTCCGCCAACGTAATAAATAAAGTCATTCTTCGTTTGCACGGCCTGCTTTGTGAAGATTGAGGTGGCCCAGCGACGGTGCCCCAGAGCTTCTAAGAGGCGGGGAGTGGGTGGAAAAATCAGCATTCTCTTGAGCGGCACTCTGTGGGGAAGAAAGGTTTCTCTGTTCGCCCTCCTCCCTCCCGTGTGGGAAGCTAAGACTGCGGCTGGATACGGGCAGTAAATCCTCCGAACCGGATGGCTGGATTTAGCTCCCGTTAATCCATCTCCTCAGCCCTCCGCGTCTCTTCTGGGCCGCCCTCTGCAAGCTCCAGGCAACCGCAAGGACCCCGTGCCGATGAGCTGACCTGCCGAGCGGCCCTCCCACGACCCATGTTGGCGGGACTGGAGGGCCTCTGCCCAGACCCAGTTGCTTATCCAGAGCTCGCTGAGCGGGAAAACTGGAAGGCTTTTTCCAATTCAACAGTTACTTCAGGCCTGCCTACAGCTCGGCTGGTGAGTGAGGGGTTTTCCCGAGGGCAGGGCTGGGGTGGATCTTCCTGCTTTTCCGAGTGATCTCCCAATGAGTCACTGTGCTGCATTTCTGTGAATGAATAATGTGCTGTGGAGTCACAACTGACTCATGGTGACCCCATCCATGGGATTTTCAAGGGAGGAAATGAGCCATTGCCTTCCTCCACATAGCGACCCTCATCTTCCTTGGTGGTCTCCCATCCAAGTACTAACCTGGGACGACCCTGCTTAGCTTCCAGGTCCTGATGAGCTTGGGCTAAGCTGGGCTATTCGGCCTGCTGCGTATATCTGAACAATGTTATTATCAGCCAGATTAATTGTCCCAGGACAGAGATCTGAGCTTGCCAGGAGAAGTCAGAGTTGGGACAGAATATCAGCTAAGACCAATGCTCCCTCTAAACTGTGGAGTCTCGTAAGCAAAAATTCTACTTTTGTGAGCTACTGGCATTAAAGTTGTGAGCAAGCAATTTGGCTATTGCATAAATTAGTTTGCTCTGGAGCCCTCCGTCCTGAGCTAAGACGAAAACGCGTGAGCTGGAGGCTATAAAACT